CTAACTTGCTTAGATTTAGATGGATTTGTTGCTTAAGCTAATTTGTGATTATTAAAAAACTGTTATATTGTGTTTTTTTTTTTTTATTTATTAAAATAATGATAGTGGTAGAAAAGTGTTGTTTTTTCATAAAATAATATTCTGCACGAAGAAATGGGGGAACTGTACGTTTATGGTAATGTTCTTTTGAATGGATTTTAATCGAAATTCTCACATTCCTCATTTAAAAGTTGAAGGGATATGATGTTCAAACAGTGAATCAAGATTATTGGTTCTAGAGCTAAGATAAGATTTATAAATAGATATATTATTATGATGAGTTCTCGTTACTTTTGTCCTTATACACAATGATGGGCATATATATATACATATATATATATATATATATGAGAAAAGATTTATTTATATTACTATGATTTATAACTACTTAAAAAATTTAGATCAAAATTAAATTTATGATTTATTTGAATTAAAATAATATTTTTGAATTTAATAATTTTTAACCAATAATTCAAAAGAATGTAAGAATTATATTAATACGAGTGAATCTCTTATTTATATATATTATTGTTCAATCTCCTAAGGCAATCTATTATATATGAACATTTATTTTTTTGTATTTGAGGTTATCATATTAAATTTTAATATTTTATAATAAATCAAATAAATTACACAATTATTGACTTAATACATATGTATATACTTGATTGCAATTTACATAAAGTACAATAATATATCAAAAGAAATTAGAAAGTAAATTATTTTAGTATATTGATGATACAAAAAATTATTTTTGAAGTTATTTCATAAGATATAACCTTTTCAACCAAATCATGTTATATAATTATATTATTGTAAAATCTAATTATTTATTATATTTTATATTAGATTGTTAGGAATGGTGACACAATTTTAATAAAAATTTGATTGAAATTTTTTTGAGATTTGCTAGATATTGTTTATGAAGAAAACACATGCAAAAAAAGAGTTTTATGAGAAAAAAAAATTTAATAGGCAAGTTAGTAAGTTTATAAATAATAAAAGTTTTTAAAGCGCTAAGAATGAGAAAAAGATTTAAGAATTTTTATGGGATACACATCCCATAGGACTAGAGAAAGTTGAAAGAGTTCATATGAGTGTGTATGTTTAAATGTTTGATATGAAAATACTCCATAAGACTTAAAAAAACTGAAAGAGTCAATTGATTTATGAAAATTATATTTGTGAGTTGCCTATAAGAAACTGAAAAGATTCACATGAGTATGTGTGTGAATATTTGAATTGGGATCACTAGAAATCAATTTGGGATAAAGATCATATTAAAATCATTAGAGATTAGTTTAGGACCATTAGAGTTCAATTAGGGATCGTTAATAATTAAGATTGTATGTTTATGATAAATGGGATAAAGATCATATTAAAATCATTAGAGATTAGCTTAGGATCATTAGAGATCAATTAGGGATCGTTAAGAATTAAGATTGTATGTTTATAATTTTTTATCACTAATGGGTCTTTTTTTTATCCATGGAGGTAGACAAATAAAATGGTGAATATAAATTGTTATCTTTTGTGTGAATGATTTATGGTTTGATTTCACTTCTGTTTATTTGGATGAATGTCAATTTGATTTGGGGTTTTTAGCCTATTAACTAGTATTAGGCTATCTCGATCTTAACAATATGTATCAGACCAAAGATTCAAGACGTGGAAAGAGGAAAACCTGAAAAATCTTGATTTAATAGAGGAGTTTGAGTTTATATGTTGAGAGATCGAATTGCATGAAATGATTAAAACACACAAGAAAAGATGATTGTGATAATTCTATTACGAGTGCAACCAAGCGTGAAGAATAATAATTTAATGAAATTTGAGTTAAGATGAAGATTATTATGAATAGTGAATGAAATCTCATAAGAGATTTAATTGAGATTTTTTGAAAAGTGGTTAGATATTACTTAATAGAGAAGAATACTTGTAAGAGAAGAATTTTAAGAGTAAATAGATTCTTGATAAATATGTTAGTATGTTTAGAAGTAGTGACAGTCTTTATAGGATTTATGAAAAAAAATGTAAAAGAGTTATAAATTTTTTATGAGATATACTTTCCATAAGACTAGAAGAGATTGAAAAAGGTTCATATGGGTGTGTGTGTTTGAATATTTGGTATAAGAATATTTCATAAGACTAAAAGGGACTGACAGATGCCAGTGATGAACATTGAGGATGTGTCTTAAAGGCTAAAAATCTACATAAAAAAGATGAATTGATTTGTGGCTACAATTTCGATAAGTTCAAGCCGAACGAAATAAATTATATTATATTTGAAAAAAAATTATTAGCCATAAAAAATTGTGTACAATGATTTCACATCTATTTAGCTCCGGAGATCTTTGTTATCCGAACAGATAACCAAGCAGTTAAAAACTTTCTCCAAAATAGAAAGCTTTCTGATAATCCCAGGTGAATTAGATGGTACAATTTTATTTGTTCTTATCACTTTCAGGTAGAATTCATCAATGGAGACAAAAACCTCCTTGCAGACTTCCTGAGTCGACCCCATAGATCGAGGAAAACACCTAATCCATGATACAGGTGAATGGAGAGCCATAAAGAAAAAAACAGGTAAAAAGTCCTCTTCTTCTACTCCTTCTTCTCCATGGCCCCTGATCTCTCCAAATCTTAACCAAGGATTTAACTTTTACAATAATCCTAACCAAGGATTATATCTGTATCAACAACCTTTTTATCGATCCCCTTTCATGAGGATTCAACTAGAATACTCACAATTTGCTCAAAATCCAAACGACTGGATACCTATGAGTTATTCTCAAATAGTTTTTTCCACAGAACAACTGTTGGAACGAACAAAATTCTCTAACCCAGAGATAAAAGATTTTTACAATCCTGGACTTGAACCACAAGTCTATAATTTGTTAAACAAAGTATGAAAATCCCATCTCTCAGAAAACAAAACCAGCTTTCGAAAAGGGATGACCAACTTAGCTAAGTTCTTAGTCAAACAGGCTAAAGAATTCCAGAATTTTAAAGAAATAGCTTTCCAAAGTCTTCTATCAACAAATATGCTAAAATAGCAAGATATTGATGTTACATATCAATAAGGGATAGTCAGAGATCAGTTTGGGATTGAGATCATATGTTTGTAATTTTTTACAACTAGTTAATTTTTTCTCTCATTCGTGGAGGTAAGTAAATAAAGTATTGAATCACATTAAATTATTATATCTTATGTGCATGATTTATTATTTGATTTCGTTTTCACTTGTCTGAATGAATGTTGACTTGATTTTGGGTTTTTAGTCTATCGATTAGTATTGGAGCTATCATGATCTTAACAAGATCATTAAATGATGAATGTTTAAATTAGTAATGTGCATTAATTTTTCGGTGAAACTAAGCTAATTTTTCAAAAATATTATTTTATGACATAATTTGAATGAAATATATATATATATATATATTGATATAGAACATGAATTATTTTTTTATAAGATAGTATTCTTAGGGTGCACTTGGTGTATAAGATTATGATATGATAGGATAAGATAATATTATAATTAGTATTAAATTAAATAATATCATACTATCTTGTATTTAATGTACGTAAAAATTAGGATATAATAATTTATTTATTGGTCAAAATTATCTTGTTTTAAAATTTATATAATTTAAATTATTAATGTGATTTTCAAGGGTATAATAATATATGTAGGTTCAATTCATAAATTAAAAATAATTTTCTCTACTTTGAAAGGATTGAATCATTTTGTACAAGGAAGATGATTAATCATCCTTACAATTCTATCTTTTTTTTTTTTTTGCATACAAATTATATATAATATACAATGATTATCATCCTATCTTATTTATCATCCTAAACATCAAATATGATATTAAAACTCTATAAGAAGATATATAAACTTACTAGTTGCGTAATTAAATAAAAAACTAATGAATTAATAAATGAATACAAATTATTATTTCAACCATACTTATCAAACTCAAATCAGCTTGATGATCAAACCGCTTGATTCAATGACTCAATTCTTGATTCCGATTAATTATATAATTAGATCATGTGTTCAATTATGTAAACATGATATTTTTATTCATTACATTATTAAAAATTTGTTTACGTTAAATCCAAATTTTATATATATTTATATTATCGGATAAAAAATATATCATTATATTTTTTACTACTTATAAGTATACTATCTAGTTTAAAATTTGGATGTTTTCTTAACTTGTCGCTTGGTCTTAATATAAGAAGATAAAAACAATTGCATGGTCTTTGGGTTCGAAAGCAAACAAAACAAAACCAAGTTTTGGAAGCATTTTGGAGAGTTTTCTTGCAATCCCCCCACACTTGCCCCATTAGGAAACAAAACTGAGGGGCGTTGTTGGTCATTGTCAGGGCGTGGTTGGCATCATCTGACCTTTGGGAATATACAAAAGGAAAGAGTAGAGGGCTTTTGAGAGGCCAGCCCCGGATTCCCTGTCCAACTAATGAAAGGACAAAAACAATAAAAAGTTGGCCGCTTTCTTTTGTTTTTAGAGGGAGAAATAAAGAGGAAGCTATGGAAGGAAAGTAAAGACAAAAGCTCAGAGGAAAAGAAAAAGCTCAAACTTCTAATAGATTTCCATATTCCACTGAAAGAGGAAACGACAACAAATCATAAACCGACAAAACCTTCCTTCACGCATTGTCGATATCGTTGCCATGAGCAAAGCAATGCCTCCCCCCTCCCTTCCAAACCTCAGAGCTTTTAATTGAGGGTTTGAACCCATTTTTGACTGTCTTATTTTTCATAAACCCAGAATAAGAAATGGCTTTGTGAGCTTCAACAGATTCAAATCTTGGGAACTTTTATGTGCTTTCATTTGGCTTCTTATCAATTGCAAAAACCAGCCAGGATTTGGCTCAACCCTTCTTCTCCTGTTATTACTAAGCTCTTCTATTGGCATTATTTTTGTCTTTTTTCCTCTTCTGTAAGTGTTGCATTTTTTTTCCTTTTGAATTTGGTATGAATTAATGGGGATTTCCATTACTTCATGAACTTGTCTTTTGAAAGAATTAATCTTTCATTGTGTTTTCCAAAATACAATTGGGGTTGTGTTACTCTTTCGGTTATATCCTAACCCTTCCATTGTTAGACTTGTTAATCTTTTCTCTTTGGATATTTGGTCTGATGCATTTGTTATAAAAATTCAGGTTCTTTTGGCATCAAAATACTATGAATCTGGTTCCATTTTGGTCAAATCTCATGAATGTCAACTATCCTCTGTTACTTTCAGTTCATGCGATTTTGAATCTTGCCTAAAATTTTGATATTTTCTCTTCACAAAAAGACCATGACTTTTATTAGCATTCATTGTCTTTTGGCAATTAGAATCTAGTTTTGCTTCTTATATTCAAAATCTTCTAGGCTCTTTCTTTTAACAGTGCCAATGTTCCAAGACGAATCATCTTCTGTAATATCATCACCTCTCCAAGTTTTTTCCATGATGTCACTCTCGTCTAAGTTAGGATCACCATATCCATGGCTTAGAGAGTTAAAATCTGAAGAAAGGGGTTTATATTTGATCCATTTATTGCTCACTTGTGCTAATCATGTAGCTACTGGTAGCCTTGAAAATGCAAATATTTCCCTTGAGCAAATATCCCAACTTGCTTCTCCTGATGGTGATACTATGCAGCGAATGGCTGCATATTTTACTGAGGCACTTGCTGACAGAATCCTGAAAGGCTGGCCTGGTCTCCACAACGCCCTCAATTCCACAAAGATAACTTTGGTTTCAGAAGAAGTCCTTGTTCGGAAACTGTTTTTTGAGATGTTCCCCTTTTTGAAGGTGGCCTTTGTTCTTACCAACCAAGCTATAATAGAAGCAATGGAAGGTGAGAAGATGGTTCATATAATTGATCTCAATGCAGCTGAACCCTCACAGTGGATTGCACTTATTCAAGCATTGAGTGCAAGGCCAGAAGGGCCACCTCATTTGAGAATTACTGGGATTCATCAACAGAAAGAAGTCTTGGATCAAATGGCTCATAGATTGACTGAACAAGCTGAGAAATTAGACATTCCGTTCCAGTTTAATCCCATTGTTAGCAAATTAGAGAATCTTGACACTGAGAAATTGCGTGTTAAAACAGGGGAGGCTCTGGCAATCAGCTCTGTTCTCCAACTGCACTTGCTTTTGGCTTCTGATGATGAACTCCTTCGGAAGAAATCACCATTAGCATCAAAGAATTTGGATGGAATTCACTTGCAAAGAGCCCTTCAATTGAACCAGAGCACTTTAGGAGAGTTGCTTGAAAAAGATATGGTTAATGGATGTAGCCCTAGCCCTGATTCAGCCTCATCCTCACCGCTATGGTCAACTGCTTCAGTGAAGGCAGATAGCTTTCTTAATGCATTGTGGGGTTTGTCACCTAAACTCATGGTGGTAACAGAACAAGATTCTAATCATAATGGATCTACTCTAATGGAGAGGTTATTAGAATCTCTTTACTTCTATGCAGCATTGTTTGATTGTTTGGAGTCTACCGTCTCAAAAGCATCTTTGGAGAGACTTAAAGTGGAAAAGATGCTGTTTGGAGAGGAAATAAAGAACATAATAGCCTGTGAGGGAGCTGAGAGGAAGGAGAGACATGAAAAGCTTGAGAAGTGGATTCAAAGGCTTGATTTGGCCAGCTTTGGAAACGTTCCTTTGAGTTACTATGGCATGTTGCAGGCGAGGAGATTGCTGCAGGGTTATAACTGTGATGGGTATAAAATGAAGGAAGAGAATGGATGCGTAGTAATTTGCTGGCAAGATGGACCACTGTTTTCAATATCAGCTTGGAGGTGTAGGAAGTAAACTATGGCAACATTTAATTTCCTGGTATCTAAGTTTTTTACTTTACTTTTATTAATTAAAACAAAAGGATTCCGTTCATCTTTTAGTGCTTACTTTTAGAATGATTAGAAAACTACCCCATATGCTCCGAGTCTTATGTGAAATTCCCCTGGTAATTTTCCATTTTGTTTTTCATCTAAAGAAACTCAATACTGATATCTGGCGTGTAGTGTTTTTTTTTTTTTTTGGTCTACAGGACTTGGGGATGGGGGAGGGGTTGGCTAGTTTCGAACCCAAGCTTTCATTCCTTCTTAAAGGCATCTTTGCCAGTAGGCCAAGAAGCGGAAGGCAGTGTGTTCTGGTTTAAAGCTCTACTTTGGAGTGCATTGTACGATTAGTTATCTTGCTCTCTATGTTTCTCTCTCTCTTGATTAAATGAGAGATTGATGACAGATCACAAATTTAAACAGATAAGTCAACCAAGATGCTTGAAACTACACACTGTTTTCTGAATTATTTCTATGCAATATAAACCCGCCAATCCTGCTCCTAATCTCTTCTGGAAACTGATTCCATTTCGCTTTCCTCTCCAAGCATTCTATGCCAATTACATCAGTTGTTCGCCTAGTGCTTTAGTGCTTCATCGAAATTATTTTCTTTTTTTTTTTTTTACCAGTTCATGTCTGTTTCTCAATTCCTACTATGTATATATATAGATATATACAATCCTCTTACATACCATGATTCCAACTTCATCTTATTGAATCGAAGTTAAGATTGGCACCTATACTTTGGAACTGAGTTATGGTGTCAGACTATGTTTCTGAGTCTTGATGTTTCCAATGGCAGTAAAAAGTAGCCCCTCTCATTCCTTGTTGCACTCTGTTAAACTCTAATCTCATGGGGGGTTACCCTGGTAGGCAGGGAACTCTTTTAGTATCCATAGTGACTTCGTGTGGTCCATTAACAAAGTACGATGTTATGGTACCGTAAACTTTAAACAAAGTACAATGTTTGGTGTTTTCTTAGAATTGCTTGTTTTCTCACTATTTTACTACCGCTGTTCCTTCTCATTTCAGATGGTTTAGTAATCGGATTATCGATTATAGCAGTTGATATTTTTCTCTTTGAGAGCTTAGTTGCAAGCCTCTCTTGCTTATCTCAGTTTTATGCCACGGGGAACTTTACAACCTAAAATTAAATCCCATAATTTATATATTTATATTGTATAAAATATTGATAATTTATATACATATATATATTATATTTTATATGAAAATTACATATAATTATGTATCGAGACAAAAAGTACATATATATTTTTTATTTTTATTAAATTTATATATAATTTTTTTATAAAATTTTAAATTACGTCACATTTATATATATATTTTTTATATTGTTTTCATATTATATTATCGTTTTGTGTTATAAATTATAATATCTATATGAAACAAATACTCATCAACATTAGCCTCTGTAATTGCACCGACATTAACATCTACAATTGCAATATGAAGTTTTCCTAAAACAAAAAGTATTGTTCTGTAAATTGGCAAATAAATTAATAAAAATCTATGAAAATAAATCCAACCTACTCACCACATTTGAAATTAGAACCACTCCCATTGGGTATTCGGTTAAACACTGATATTGGCAAATAAGTGTATATATTGTCAACTCAAAGAGCATGTTCAAATTTTTTTTTGTCGAAATTAAAAAAAAAAATCCAAATATCAAATAATTCTTAGTGTTGGCTAGTGAAAGACAGTCTTACTTCTACAATGGGTCCATTGAAGGAGTTGTTGGCCACATGCTCCTGCAACATAAACCAGCCTTTGCTCAATTTTGGTGACGAGCTTGCATATGCATGTCATCCCACCATTAAACTTTAGAGCCCCACAACACTTAGCTGATGATGCAGCTTTTGGCTTATAATTTTCTATGAAATTCAGGCATCCAAACAATACCCCTAATCCCACAAAATTGGCTTATCTTTGATAATATAGCTGGCGATGTCATTGCTTGGAATTGGAATATTTCGTTCATTTGTAGTTAACTGCTAATATTTGTCCGTCAATCCATTTTGGAATGACGACTATTGTGCAACAAGTTCAAAATTATATTATCAAAGAATTTTCCAGCCAGCATTATTTGCTCATTTAATTATGTGATACAAATCTTCGTTGTGGGGCTGACGAAGGACCACTAGGTCTATGCAGTCAACCTTGTCTTTTTCTCTTTTCTGAACTTGATTTTCTCTGTTTTCCTTTAGATTTCAGATTAGACCTAGCAATCCTACATCACCGTATGGTTTCAACGATACTTTTGGAACCAAAAGCTTAGTTCAGTTGTCACTATTAAAACGTGTTATTCAACGTGTTTAGAATTTAAATTTTAATATTCATAATTTTTTTTTATTTTCAAATTGTAATTTTTTTTTATAAAAAATATATATATACTTTTGAAACCGAAGGGAGAGCTAGCTGAAAGGTAATTTTGTTTAAGATTTTACGTTGTTTCAAGTTAGATGAAACGCCATCGGCTGTTTTCCTATTGGTTATATTTGGAATTTTATGCATTTCTCCTTAGGCCTTGCATGCTCGTCCAAATGAACAAATTTGATTCACTGCTTACTTGGTTTTAGTCTTTTCAATTGTAAACAAATATTCCGACTTATTGACTTTATGTCTTGTAATTTTCGTGTTTATGTATGTCAAGTGGGCATCAGACAACGAACCCTGTTTTTTGCTCAACAGTTCGATCATTCCACACGTTCCTAATCTCGAAAGACTGTTTGGGTTCGTATTCACTACTTATTGCATTGCGCATTTCATGGCTATCTCCAACACGTATCTCATGAAAGGTGGACCTTCTGGCTAGCCTGAAAAAATGAATCGATGGGTTATAGTAGTGGATATTTTGTTGGGCTTCGATAGGCATTTATTTTCACAAAAGAGAATAAAAGGACAATTATAAGTTTTGAGATATAAATTTTAAGTTTATTAGATGTTATTTTTTAAAGATAATTTTATGAATTAATTGAGCTAAATTGTAAAAACTAAATGTAACTAATCTTTAATTCAATAATCATCCAAGCAAGTGTAAACGTAAATCAATAATAAATCATTGGCACAAAAGATAGAATTTAGTATGTTTTAGTGCTTAACTTGTTTACATCACATATTAGAAAAAAATTCATTAATTGTAAATAATTACAACCAAATCAACACATTAACCGTTAATGTGTTAATGATTAACATTCCATTTAAGCACTTAATCACAAATTATTAATTTGATTTCTGTATTTTTAGCTTTCATTGGTTTTTCTTTCCCATATTTATACTTACAGTTGAGTTTTTACTCTGTTGCTGGCTTGTTGCTAGTTTTCTAGCAACGTTTTTTGTTAAAATTTTTTTGGCTGAGAAAAAAAATACAAATTATTAATGTGCTTTTTGTTTTAAAACTCAGTCTATAATTATCTTTTGCCTATCTGCCTAGGCATTAAATTGATAGTTAATTAAATTCATTTCAATTTTAAAAATATAAAACCAAAAAAAAAAAAAAAATTCTTCCTTGTGTTCCACTTTGAGAAAACTGAAACTTTTACGTAGCTACTCTGAAAACCAGCATACATGGGATATATGCAATAATCACAAACTTCACTTACTCATATTAATTATTCTAATGAAGTTTACAACTCTCATCGATCAGCTCTCTCTCTCTCTCTTTATTATTATTATTATTATTTTTTCCAGGCCTCAAACAGGTGGAGCAGCGAAACCTGAAACAATCAAACAACACAAAAAAAATAATTGAAAATAAATAATCTAAGAAACACTAAAAACAGAAACATGGAAATTTTCGAATAATGTAATGATAAAATCTTACTTCCACATTTCATTCCAGGCTGGACAGTCAAGCCACAGGATCGAGCTACATAGACCACCTTCTCCATACTAACAAGCTTCTCCACCTCCGTCGTAACAAGCTTGCAAATGCATGGAATATCGAGATTTTTTACCAGATCACAGCAACCCTTGGAGGGAGGGACATTTGGCCCTGGACTTCACACGTACCGGGAGCATTGTGAAATAAGGTTCGGAATGCTAGTTTCGCACTGAACTGAGACCCCTTGGTCTCCGAAAACAAGGGTTCCAGCAATCATCAAGATTGCCAAGCTCAAGAAACTGAAACTTGCAGCGGCCATTTACTATATATATATATTTTTTTTTTCACCTCTAAAATTTTGATTGATCTGGTCTGGTCTGGTGTGGTTCGATATATATATTGAGAGGAAAACTTGTCTAACTTTTTTTTGGTTGGATCATATATGCTTAATTTTAGGTGAATGGCAAAACAGAGTGATTAGAATATTTGGAAAAATGAGTGGTCACTTCAGTAATTTGATTCATTTATTCCTCAGTTCTCGAATTAATCAAGGCTAAAAATATGATTGACAAAATTTGGTGTAAGCCACATTCATTCTATTAAAGCCCCCTCCCCAAACCCCGAGAGGAGAATGAGAAGGAGTTTAAGATAAATTGCTACATGTGAACAGTATGAACATACGGTCATGATAAAAGCATTAGCTACTGGAGTTGCAAACCCTTGGATGTTAAGTTTGTCGGGGGTTCACGTTATAGCCGTGGCTAAGTTGTTTGTCGCCTGCAAGTAATATTTGCAACTGTGGATTCAGGATTTATTTCAGAATATCTAATTATAATATATATATATATATATAATTATTGTGTTTTAAAAAAAATCTCCAGGTGTTCAGAGTTTTTTTTTTTTTGGTCTTTTAATTTTTGAGGTATCCATAAACATCCTATTTATACATATGGATCCATCAATGAATACTTGGTTCAATGTTAGAAGTGCAAAATCTTCTATAAAAAAAGAGTTATATTCAAAATTTCATTTTTAAACAGTGAGATTCTAACAACTAATATTATTGATTTCTTAAAATTGTTAACAGTAAATCTTTTTTATGGTATAAAGGAGGTTATAGTTTGAGAATAAAAAAAAATTATATGTGCTAAAATTTAAAAATCAAATTTATTAGATGTTACATCATATGGCTACATGAACCTATATAGTGAATTATGGTTCTTAATTAGGAATAACTCCATTCTTAAAATGAAAAATGAGCATTTGGCATGTGGGCACATATAATTTGTTCAAATATGTAATCGGATCGCAATTTTTCATAGGGATGTCAATATTACTCAAATATAATGAAAATTTTAATTTTTTACTCAAATAGAAATAGAAACGGGTATTACATTATGAGAATAAGGATGAGTATGATTTTAAAATTTTATCAGGTACGGAGATAAGAACAGATAATAAAATACCTATCTAATACTCCACTCTACATATATTTATATATTTAGTAAACAAATTTTTTATTAAATAATATAAATTATTACTTTAAATTAATTAGAATTAATATATTTTAATTTAAAAAATACATTAATATATATTTTATAAAAAAATAATATAAATATACAAGATAAACTAAAAATATAAATTTTGGATTTTTTTTAACAAGTTATAAGCATGGAGATTATTTATACTTATTAAATACTCGAAGGGATGAGAATGGGGATAGATTGAAATATTCATTGGGTATTAGGGATATGTATAATATAAAAATCTAGATATGGGGATGAAAAATACTCTACCAATCTTATACTCTACCCATTAACATTCCTAACTCTTATTCCCCAAATGATAAATAATAAGGCATATAGGGATATCACAATTAACAATATCTTTTGGATTATCATCCAATACATGGAATTTTTTTTTCAGATTTCGGATTTTTTTTATTTTCATTTTTGTTCAAATTTAGATTTTTTAAAATTTTTTTAATTTAGATGTGTAGGCACCAATTTTGTCTAATTCTATTTTAACTTAAATATAATTTTATTTATATTATTATTAATTAATTAATTAATCCTAAAAAAAGATAAGAAAAAGTCACAAAGAATTTTGGTTTCAACTCTGGTAGCTGAAATCAAGCTGCCAAAGTGGTTCGTTTTTCTCCCTTGAGACTGCCTATTTTGGCAGCATGAAATCTGGTGACTAAAAATCACTGACAGGCCTCCAAAATTTTCTACATAAGGATCCCAGAAGATCTGAGATTTGGATCTTAGAAACTTTATAAATAGAGCTAATTTTTGCAAAACATAAAGAGGGAGAAAAAAGGAAGGGGAATACGGTCAAAGAGAAAAAAAACTAAAAAAATAGGGAACATTGCCGAAAAAAGCAGATAGCAATTTTTTTATAACTATTCATAAAAAAAAAAACACAATCCTCTTATCAAAAAGGAACCAACAGTGAAAAAAATAAAAAATTTTCCAAAAGCAAAAAATTATTCCATAAACAAAAAATTTTCTTAATCTGGGTATTCTAGATTTTTTTTTTTTTAGGTAAAACTAGTTTAGAAAAGGTGTTTAGAAGGCTGTAAAGGTGTTTTTTTGAAATTTTTTAAAAATTTTTAAAAAGATTTTAGGGTCATCGAAAATTGAAAAAGTTTAAAATTTTCAATAACTTTTAAAGCTCTCGACAACCGAAATCTAGGTTCATCGTCAAAATCTGAGAAACTTTAAATTTCTCAGAACCTTTGAAGATTTCGACCACTGGTGCACGGTGGCGATTGGTCTGAATCTAGGTTGTCACGACAGTTAATGAAGGAGATAAATTTTTAAAGAGAAAGGCTCTAAAGGATAGAGAAAGAGGGAAGAAAGGAAAATTAAAAAAAAAAAAAGGCCTATTTATAGGCCTTAAAAAATAAGGTCAATTTAGGCATCTGACTCGCGCTCGACCCACGCAGGATCTGCACATTAACCTACGCTCCGACCTAATCCATTTGGTAGGTTTTTCCTTTTTTTTTCTTTTTACTTACTGTTTTGATTTTTGATTTTATTTATTTTGTGTTATTTTTATGTTATTTTTTAATCTTTTTTGTGATATTATTGTTATTATTATTATTATTTTATATTGTTACTAGTAATAATTCTTTTAGAAATAAATAAATAAAATAAAAAACAGAACTAAAATAAAATATAGACCTAAAAAATATAATATGAAAAAAAATTAATAATAATAATAACTATTTAAGGAAAATAAAATTTTATCACAAGCAAAAATGTTAATTAAATTTCACCAAAATTTTAGGATAATTTAAAAAATAAATTTTGCTAAAAAAATAATAAAATTATAAATAAAATAAATAAAATAAAAAAATGGTAAATTGTATAAATGAATATTTTAAATATAACTTTTAGAGAAAAAATGAAATAGTTTAATTTTCTTTAATTATTGCAAGTAAAAATAATTTTTCGGATTTCATCATAAAGTTGAAATAATCCACAATTATTTTTACTAGAATAAATGTTTATTTAAACAACAGCAGCAACAACAACAACAACAATAATAATAATAATAGTTGATATTTTAAATAAATCTTTTTGTAAAAAGATATAATTTTTTAAAGAAAATTGAAAAAGTTTGATTTTCTTTAATACAAGTGTAGACACCAAATTTTATGTGAAATATTTTTCAACATGATTGATTCAAGGCTCATTTGTGAGCAAAAAATCAAAACCAGTTATAAGAAACATTTAAGACCTATAAAGACCTCATAAATTTATCAATTCAAAACCCAAAGTCAACTCAGGTTAAAACGAGTCAAACAAAATCAAATTATATAAAATTCGGTCAAAATGAATAGAGTCTGAGTTAATTTTGAAATTTCAAAAACTCATTGAAATCAAGGTATTATCAAATTTAATTTGGGATATTTTTGCACAACATTGAAAATTTCATTGTGTCAAGAAAAGGCCAAATTATCAAAATACCTTTTTGGGGGTATTTTTATAATTTGACCTTCCCTAGCTCGAATTTTAGTGAAACCTTATAGACTTTAATCCTATAATATTTCATGATTTTTAATGCGTTTAAAGTCACAGTGGTACCCCCGATAAGTGTGAAATTACCAAACCACCCTTATAGGAGTTTCTTTGTAATTTCACCTTTTCGAGCTCAAAATTTTGTGAAACTTTTTAGATCTTACTTTTGTAACATTTCATGATTTTTGGTGAGTTCGGAATCATAGTAGTATCCCAAGAAGTATGAAATGACTAAAATACCCTTTGAGGAGTATTTTCGTAATTTGGCCTTTTCGAGCTCTAAATTTCATGAAACTTTTCATATCCTAGTTTTATAATATTTCATAATTTTTAATACATTTGAAATTATAACAGTACCCCGAGAAGTGTGAAATTACCAAAATACTCTCATAGGGGTATTTTCGTAATTTAGCCTTTCCGAGCTCGAAATTTCACAAAAATTTTCAGATTATAATCCTATAGTATTTTATAATTTTTTGTGTTTTAAAATCTTAACAATGACTATGGAACCCTTGATTTCCAAGGAAAGGGCCTAAATACCAAAAACTTTACAACTAAGGGTAAAATAGTCTTTTCACATGTTTGGAGGGCATAAAATTATCATCTTTGCAGTAATTAATATGGACCATTAGATCTTTATTTGATCTTGATCCAATGGTCAAAGATGACCCCTTTGAAGGAATAAGAACAAGCTTTGACCCTTGGATGAAATCTCATCCAAGGGTCCATGTTTATCAAGATCAAGATTTTTTTTATTTCTTTCTTAACTGACCATTAAGGAGGCTGGGGGTTTCGGTCAAGGAGGAAGAGGAGAGGAGGGGTTGAAAAAAAAAAAAAGAACAAAACATAAAAAAAAAAGAGAGAAGGAAGCTGTTGAAAAAAGAGGTAACCGAATAAGGAGGAAAAAGGAGGAAGAAGCATCTAAAAAAAAAAGGAGGAAAGGTATTTTAAAAAAAAGGGAGAGAAAACACACCATAAAAAACAAAAAAAAAAAAGAAGCAGCC